AAAATACATATATAGAGAACGGAAAATACGCAGCAAAATTTTGAGAAATATATGATCATATGGTATGCATTAAATTTATGCAAAATATGCAGTAATTTTCTTAAGATATGCAGTTGCATATGCTCCAAAAATAAAAAAAAGGTAATAACCCAACTAAATTTATTTACAATTTACAAAAACACGTGTCCCGAGCATACGTGTTAGAGCCTCTGGCGGGGACCTGTTTCACCCATCCCCACCCGTAAGGGTGGGAGCCAGAGCCACCCCCACCTTGGAACACAGGGTAGCATTTATTCTTAATTCTTAACTCATTCATACACATTCAATTCACAATTCTCAATTCGTAACTAACATTCAACTATCTCGACCGCACGGTCACATAATATTCTATTCTTATCATTCTTATTTATCATAACACTTGTCACTAGCAATATACATTTATCTTACTGTTCGCTGGTCTTTATTCATTTATACAAACTTCGACATGGTCCTTCGAGCCGGATTAGCGACAGAATAACAGTGGTAGTGATAAGTGTAATTCTCAACATATCATTCATCGGCTGGAATTCAGCAAAGTAGTTATCAAAACATCACCCAGAAATCATCCGCGCAGTGTTCAACTATCGGTGACGACCGCGAGTGCTGTGCAAAATCCTCAAGTATCATTCAGCGTCAGCCAAGATAATTCTATCCAGGAATCCAGGATTCCAGGTAAGCTTTAATTCTGTTTGGTTGGTGTAATACATTATTCTCGTACTCAAGATGGTGGTAATCCAAGACAATACTTTTGTTAAATTTTCAATTCTTCTCAGCGAAATAGATTCACATTCTAATTTTATATCAAATGTTGCAAATCATCAAAAAAGAGGCCACTTAAAGCGTCGATATGAAGACGTACAGCGAATTTATTCAGAATTACAAATGCTTGTAGTTCAGCATAAATCTGAAACAATAGTAGTCCCGAATGACACGAGTAACACGGAAACGATCAAACCTATAATTTATAATATCAGAGAAGTGCTAAATTATATTCAAAAAATATCCGAATTATATAAGGCTCTCATTGAGAAAACTATTCCATTGTGTACTTTCTCGAATTCATGTAAGATAAACAATAACGTACCAACCACGGATCTGGAAAAAACTTGTCAAAATTTAAAGCCTTTAAAGGTACACAAATTAAGAAATGGAGAACCCATCAAAATTCACAAAACCCATTTCAATGCTCTACGTAAATTGCGGTTCACTATTGGTAAAAAATCTCCTCTTGATTCCGTTATTTCAAAAACTCCTAGTGTAATATCAAATCCTTCAAAATTTCCAAATTCAACACCCAATGAAGAGAAAAATAATCTTTTTAATGATTGTTACAACTCCAAAGGCGTATCTCAAATTAATTTAGATAAAACTTCTAATGCAGAGTCATCTACCGCACTAGACAAAGTAAAAAGTCCTCCAGTTAATTCAAAAAACTGTGGCTCATTGTTAGTCTGTAACCAATTTAAAATTAGGTCGCAATATTTATGTGAATCCGTAGACTCAAATATTAAAGACAACACGTCAAACGTAGCAATACTCGACAAGAAAAAACATTCCGAAAATGCTAAACCCAAAATAACAAGTCATTTCAGTAAAAACCCACCGGTGCTTCAAAATACCGCGCTGGGGTTGATTCTTAGCGGCAGTTTTGCATATTTAAAAAATAATACTTCCCATCATCACAAAATTAGTTCAGCCCAAATTATTTCTCGGTTCTTGGAAGCTGAAACCGTCAAAACCGGAAGTAGGTCATTAAGCAGAGGGTTTAAAAGCGATCTTTGTGCAACCTCTTTTTAGTATACTACCACAGGCCATTCACCCGATGGCTATTTCATGGTCAAACACCCCTTTTCGGAAAATCAGCCGCGGTTTACACAAATGCATCCAAAGTGGCTATTATCAGTCGAGAGGAAGTTGGGGCATTCCACAGTCCCTTATTTCGAAAATCTACCTAAATTAGGAAATTCCCCAGAACTCGCTCTCCAACTGCTATTGTTAGCAGAGGGGCATAATCATAAACGTAACGAGGGTTTTATTGTCTCTCAAAGGAAGTACCTAGACCTTGTACACCTGAAGGTACTTAAGGAAAATTCCTCAAATAATTCCGTTTACCTGTCACACAATTGTATTCTAAATCCCCACATTTCTTCCAATAAACTTTGCGAGGTTGTTGACCGTTCCAATCTTAGTTCAAAGAGTTTAAATATGAATCGCCGGAGTTATAACGAAATTACTGGTAAAAACCATCTTGAGGGCGAGGGCGTGTATGCGCTCATTGTCAGAGTTAAAGCCGTCCTGAATTCGCGCCTTTCGAAGCCTCTGTCCAGCGACCGCAATAATTTGGTCGCATTTATACCTGGCCAATGCCTCTTTCGGCCAGCCATCAACGGGTCTCTCAGGAAAAGACCACGCCGTCGTTCCCATCAACCGGCCATCCCTTGGCATCTCATCCACGCTTACCATCAACACTTCTGGAAGTCGTGGTACCTCGAATATTTGACCACACTGAAAGGCAGGTTAGGGTGGCAAAGGCCATTTTCCAACGTTCCAGGAATGGCAAGATGGGTCCTCGTGAAGGAGGAGAAATTTCCGCGTCTACAGTGGCGGTTAGGACGCGGCCCTCCAACATCATTTTGGAAAGGAAGTGGTGGTGTGTGTAGTGTCGGTGAAGTGCAAAAGATAATTTCGCAATCGCATGCATTATCATTATATTTAACCATATTGCATACATCTTGTCAATTTGTTATATACATCTCATTATTGATTTATTTTGCTATGTTCTATGTATTCATATTTGTACCATTGTTATATTCATTCCCCATATTGTTCACTCGTCGTATTATTCATTGATTTGGTACATTATAATTGTTGTAAATTTACTTTTAGGTTTATTGTAAATATTGTGTATTCGCTGATATTGTACCAATGTAATTTGTCTTAGATATCTTTTTTTTTAAGTTTAATGCGTTTCTTCATGTTCATTGCTTTCTGTAACAATATCCATCCCATTCATGTAATTTCATTTGTATTTATCATTCTAATATTCCATATAGTTTATTTTTGGTCTTAAAACAATGTAATTGTTTCAAGGCGGGGGGTATGTTAGAGCCTCTGGCGGGGACCTGTTTCACCCATCCCCACCCGTAAGGGTGGGAGCCAGAGCCACCCCCACCTTGGAACACAGGGTAGCATTTATTCTTAATTCTTAACTCATTCATACACATTCAATTCACAATTCTCAATTCGTAACTAACATTCAACTATCTCGACCGCACGGTCACATAATATTCTATTCTTATCATTCTTATTTATCCTAACACTTGTCACTATCAATATACATTTATCTTACTGTTCGCTGGTCTTTATTCATTTATACAAACTTCGACAATACGTTTTATTACAAAAAATACATAAATCACATTTTTAAAGATAATAATATTCTTATACAAAAAATATACAGAACAAATTAAAAAATAGTAGTAATCGTCTATTTAATTACTATTTTGGTAACAATTTATTTTTAAATATTTTTCGAAATATTCTAACAAAAAGTTTTTGCGGTGATCCTTAATATGTATTTGTAAATAGAAAAACTGCGTATCTACTACGTTCACAGATGTAAAAATACTTACCAGTTAGGAGCAGCAAAAATATTTGGAATGAACGGTATTTCCAAAAGTAAGTAAGTAACCTTTCCTAGTTATTTGAAGTTCAGTATAAAATTTGCAACATGATTCAGGAAATTTTGGTCATTCTAGATAAATGCTGATAGAATGACAATATAATTTTTTTAAATTAGCACAAAATTTAATAAAAATCCAAAACATGCAGAATATGCACCCGTTACGTGAAATATGCAGCAGAAGGCAAACATATGCAAATATGCAATTTTTTTATTCATTTCTAATGAACATAATTAATTCGTGCACATATTAAATATCAAGATTTATATGCAAAAACTAACGGATATGCAAATTTCATAAAATCCGCTCTCTCATTTTTTTTTTACTTTGAATGTCAACGCATTGTTTCTTGACCAACACAGTTAAAAATACATATTTACAAGTATAAGTTATTACATTATTTCCAAATTGGTGCAGTGATTAACTACACCTATAAGTTGCATCAATCAAGCCTACTTTAATCCTTGCTCAGAGAGCTTTCCAAAAAATGTCTTCGGAACTCAGCGAAATCAAACATTTCTACAAAAACCAAACAATCTTTTTAACCGGCGGCACCGGATTCTTGGGGAAAATTATCCTAGAAAAGCTCCTTCGCGAATGCGAGGGGCTATCAAAAGTCTACATGCTAATTCGGCCAAAGAAAAATAAAAGCAGCAAACAACGTCTGAAAGAACTTTTCGACTTACCCGTAAGTTTTTAGTCGCATAATGTCGTGCCTGAAATGTGTCTTCAAGTGTTTTGCTGTACTGAAATCCAAAAATGTACACGCCTTGAAAAAAGTTTGCATCGTCAATGGTGATTGCGAAGAACCGGTTCTTGGAATGAGTGATGAGGACATAGCGGTTTTAAAAAAAGAAACCACCTGCGTCATTCATGCCTCAGCATGCGTTAGGTTTGATCAGTCTTTGAAAAAAGCTGCTTTGTTTGTCAGAGCCACCCGAGATATATTAGAATTGGCCAAAGGAATGGCAAACCTGAAGGTAAGGAAAACACGCAGTGTCCAAAAATGAGTTACAATTTTAGGCTTTTGTTTACGTTTCTACCGCTTTTTCCAACTGCGTACGTTTGGACATTAAGGAGGAGTTTTATGAGCCGCCTTTGACGCCGGAAAAATTTCTCGCGGTGGTTAATTCTTTGGACGAGGATATTTTAGACGATATCTCTACGCGGTAGGTACTCTGAGTACTGCAATTTAGTTGCTCACTTAGTTTTTAGTTTATTGGGGAATTTTCCAAACACTTATGTTTACTCGAAGAATATTTCGGAAGATTTGGTTAGATGTGCTGGTGAGAGTTTGCCAGTTGCAGTAGTACGTCCTCCTATTGGTGAATTAAATGTTGAGAGTCTAGTTCTGAGTTACGTTCTGCTAATTTATAAGCTGTGTTAGCACACCTTGTAGTGTACTGATTTAGCGGAAAAAAACTCAGAAACAAATCAAATACAAAATCCTGTAGTATGTCGTTTCAGATACAAACTGTAACGTAGAACCCATCACCGGATGGGCAGACCAGTTCTATGGTCCTTTTGGCTTGACGACAGCATCAACTTTAGGCATACTTAGGAGTGTCTACATATACGATGTGCCACTTGAAATAGTGCCTCTCGATTATGTCGTAAATTGTGTAATATCAGTACTTTGGAAAACATCCAAATCTTCTAAACCCACCATCTACACCATCGTTCCCAAAAAAGAAAACGTGTGCACTTGGTGTAAATAGTAACAAAATTTAGTGTTTGTCTAGACTCGAATGTATAAATTTCAGACGAGGCACGGAAGCTTCTCTTTGCCCATTATTTAGAGAGTCCTCCTCTCCAAATGGTGTGGTACTACGGGTTACAATTTACCCCCTACAAGCTTCGGCATGACATATATGCTTTTTTCTTGCATACAGTTGTTGCATATATTGCTGATTTTGCGCTCTTCTGCTTAGGAAAACCCACTGGGTATGTCACAAAATTGTTTAAATTTTCTTAACCTTAATTTTCAGTGTTGTGAAGATCCACGAAAGATTAGCTAAACAGATTAGTTCGGTGGAGTATTTCGTAACTCGGCACTATCATTTCCATGACAATAATACTGAAAATTTGTGGAACGAGATGAATGAAGAAGATAAAGAGCTTTTTAATTTTGACATGAAAAATATGAAATGGCGCGATTATTTGTTTAAATCTTTTACAGGTTGTAATGTGTATTTGTTGAAAGAGAGCGGTGAGAAAATTTCTGAAGCTAAGAGAAAAATGAAAATTTTGTTTGTGGTACACTGTGCGACGAAGGTATTGCTACTGTACCTACTGTACAAGTTTGTTTTCTTTGTAAGTGGTATTTTTGTTTGATAATCTTAGTTGAAAATGTAATTATAGAGACAATGAGTTTATTTTGTAACAGGGTTCAAGTTTGCAATGTAACAAAACCTAAAATACAAATAATTTACTGAAAAAACTGTCCGAAGGTTATTTGCATAGGACTTCCCCCGGTCCTTGACTACACATTGTTCAACAAATACCGCTTCTTTGAAAATAAGTATAAAACATATATTTTGTGAACTGTAATTTATGATAATATCTATACATTAAGACAATATATATACATAAGTATTATCAGTAGTAGTGTAAGAAACTAAATGATATCGTATAGGTAAATGTGTTTTGCGAACCTACAGATTTTTTGTATTTTGTCTACGCATCCATTTTTTTTTTGTATGGCACTGTATATTTTGTAGAATTCTCGTAGAACTTCACACTTAATCCGCCACTGTCTATCATTGGAACGCGTTATGTTACGAAAACACATTTATTTATATTTGATCTGGAGTGCACTTATCCTTAAGAAATGGACAGGGGCGGTTGATAGAGTTGAGTAGAGGCTGAGGCAAGGCACAAGATGTTCCAATATTTAAATATCAAAAAATTATAGTGTCGTGCTCGTGTTTTGGGGAGTCACATGTAAATTTTTTGAAATTGCTGTACTAACAGAAAATCAAAATAAGCATGAGGACCTGAAACTGAACAAAACACAGCCATCCGGCGGCGGCAACCCTTTAGTAGGTGGCTGACTGTCTGCAAGTCATAAATTACTAGAACGGCCGGAAGTGACCAGTTGCATTTTGCCCAATCTCGAGATCATCTGTGTCAACAAACGCTCAGGCTAAGACGAAATTGTATTTTAGTAATAACCAGATTAAAAATAAATAAATTTCATTTTCTTTTATATTTAGGCCAGGAAGGGTCCCTTAACTCTGGGCGGACGCCGCACAAGTACTTGAAGTGTTTACGTTAATACTTCGGAAGAATGTCACGTAGAAATAGGACAGGTCGTGAGAGTGAGAGGAGAGGTTGCGAATTGGAAGAATTAATTGGGGAACTTGAAGGTTTTGAACAGACCACTTGATCTGTTCACTTTTAGCGGGCCAATGGGAGAGTCGGACATTGACGTCACAGTAGTGATTGGTGGCTGGTTGGAGAGGTTTGTGTGTGACACGTGGGAGGTTAAGGAAGACTGTGGTGTGAGTGACCACAATTGTATATTGATCGGTGTGGAAGGTGTGCGGGGGAAGTTCAAATCGAAGATAAAAAAGTGGAGAGGGTGGTCCATGGGAAACGTCAACTGGGAGATGTTCAAATCGGAATAGGGAAGGAAGGCCTGTATGACCAGTCCTGAAAGCTTTGTGAGACTCCCGGGTAGGGAGCAGCTAGAAAGCCTGCACTGTCACTAAGTCATCACCACATGTTTGTTTGTTGGATAAATTTGACATGATCAGAATTAAATCCTCTATGTTGACGGAAGACATTGAGAAAGAATTTGAAGAAGTAGAAGTAGACTCTGTGTGAGTAGAGTTGTTAACAGAAAATACATTGGCAAAGGTAATAGCAAATGCATCCACAATGTCCTGAGGTTCCGAAAATATATTTCCATTATTGTCTCGTAACTGACCCGGTATTCTAGAAGTGGCATTTTTCAAATGTAGAAAGCTCCATAAAGATGAAGGATCAGATTTGATATTGTTCTGAACATGGTTTAGATACAGTTGGTAGGCATTATCCATTTGTTTTTTAACAATAGCTCTTAATCGCTTGAATTCGATATAGAATTTAGCATCCTTAAATTTGATCCATTTACGCCTGTAACAGTCTTTTGTTTTTATATTCTGCTTAAGAATTCAAGGTGGAAATTTCGAAGAGCTAGAGGTTATACGTGGAACAGATGTATCAAATAACTTATAAAGACAAGAATAAAAACCCTCAAGAGCACTATTTACATCTTCCTGACTTTCTAAAAAAGACCAATCCACGTTGTTGATGTCATGATATAATTTTAAAAAGTTGCCCTTGCTAAAGTTATAGCGAAGTTGAGGAAAGAAAGAGTTGTGAATGGTCAGGATGGATGGGGGAAGAGGAAAGACGATTTGAGAGGTTGTTGGAATCAAAGGAGATGTATGAGATATTAATGGGATTTGCGGAAAGGGTGTTTAAGAAAAGGAGAAGGATGAGAGAGGGTGTGACGGAGTGAGGTATGGGGGTGCTGGTGACGGAGGATGAGAGAATAAAGAAAGAGTGAAGTTGGTGCCGGTGAGGTACGAAGATACAAGTACCGGTACTGTAATATAAATGGAATGTGTGTGTATGCCTTAAAAGTTAGGTGCCTAATTTACCAATTTGGAAGGTTGTGGCACCGTCTTCAAAACGTTGGCTATATTTCCTCTTCGGATGGCAATACTGATACATTATTTTAGGAATGATTTTGCCAGCGGTAAACCAGACTTGGCAATTAATAGACATGCAATATCTTCATAAATGGACTTGGTGTCTTCACTCCAGGAACATATTCTATTCTTGATACAATATTCTGTTATGAATTAGTCCCAAAATCTTCATAACACACATTAATTACCAACTCCCCTCAAAATTTCCGATAAATTTTATTAAAGAAAAATTAATTTAATAATGTGTTTTTTCACTAGCAGCCATGACGCATGCAAATGTCGACTCATTTAGTGGTAGCAAATTCAACTTTTGCGACCACCGGTTCAAAAAGAAAAATTGAGGTTATGTACGCAATGTTTGATGTGATTATCTCTTAAAAAATGAACAAATGTGTGCTACAAACATTACTTGAGTATACGCATGGTAGTTGGTAGACGGTAGAAGATAAAATGATTAACTCAGCGACAAGCATAAACGGTTTTCTTTGTGTTGAAGATTTAGATTAAGTTTGATTAGAAATTAAAACAAAATCATGTTGCGTCAAAAAATTGAACGTTTATTTTTTCAGTTTATTGTCTTATGGTTTCTACTAGTGAAAAAAATAGTATATTAACCACGGTTGCAAAGCTACTTCTAGACATCGCGCTTCAGAGCCCTCGACGCTGCGCGTCTCGGGTTCTAATTTGCGCTCGGTCTAGAATGCTTGGCTCTGCAACCTTGGCTAATAATATACTATTTTCATATCCCTGTGAATTTTCTAAAATTAATTTTTGAATAAATCCCTAATTAATATAATTGTCATATGAAAACATTTTTTTTCATTTAAACAACTATAAAAGACAACAATAGAATTTTAACGAATAAACAAAACACTTAAGTCAAATCTTCACTGAACTCAATAATAGAACAACAAAACCATAACAAAAGTTTAATGTGATGGTCATCGGTTCTCTGCAATGCCTACGCACGTCGAATTAGTGTTATGTTTATTATGTTTGGACCTGCTCTAATCTGCCAAATTTCAGTTCGGTTTGACAGTTCTTCAACACTGTTAATAGAAGATTTGGTAGACTAACAGTTCCATGTGACCCTACAAAAAGAAATCACAAGGACTGAGGTCAGGAGAACGAGGTGACCATAAAACTGATCTATTTCTTCTTATCCACTTATCCATAAAATTTAGATTCAACCATCTCCGTACTACCAAAGCATTATGAGGTCTATCGTGTAAATACCACATGATCCTTCGCGTAGCTAATATACATCTTCTAAAAGATGGTCCAGATTGATATTCTGTAACTCTAAATAGGCGTCGGCTGTCAATCGAGGAGACACTGTGTACGCGCCAATCAAATTATTGCTAATCATTCCTGCCCAAACATTAACCACAAATTCAGTGTTGGGCAGTATCTAGATACTTGTATCTAAATAAAGTATCTAGATACATTTTTGGGTATCTAGTATCTGTATCTAGATAAAATCGAATTTAAGCCCAAAATATCTGTATCTAGATACAAAATTAATGGCGCAAATACAGATACATTTTTTTATTTCACTTTTTTTTCAGTAGTTGTTAGTTGAGTTATACTAGTGGTAATTTTTGATACTTCATCTTGGTGAGAGGTCCACTAATAGTGTTCTGTCACGGAAATTTTCATATTTTAAATACCATCATTTCCGACATTGTGTATTTCAGTACTTACACATCTTTAAATATAATCCTGAGGGGTAATACATGTAAGCCATGGTAAGATGGTATTTTAAAAACCATAAACCACAATTCACTATTCACTGCGTTTTACTCTTATCCGGAGCAATGCATTTTATCTGTGTACCTGAGCAACCCGGGTCCGGTAGGCCCGCTGGTTGTATTTGTGTTATTAAATAAGAGTAATTTTAATAGTAAAAATATTTGTTTAATGTATGTTATTATTTTTAGAAAATAATAATTGCGTGTTACATAATGATTAATTTTTTCAATTAGCACAAATTAGTTCTGTAATCGACTAATCGAATGTTCAATACATACATTTCTCTCGCATAAATCGCATATTTGTTACTGTTTTATACCTTTATTTTTCAGACAAATGTAGCATCTTTTCCTGTTGCCATATGTGTCATTTCTTCACTTTTTCATTGGTGGACCTAACGCGAGGTGGGCTTGGCAGGTCCGTTTTGCCCTAGAATGTGCCGATTATGTTTAAGTGTAATTATCTTGGGCAATAAAATTAATATTTTTACAACCCTTGGTAGAATAATTTATCGTGATATATTCTCAGAAATCGTGAAACGAGATTAAAATAAAATGAGTTTCAACAAAAATCTGAAAATTTAAAGTTGCACTCTAGTGATTCCGGCCTGTCAGGCAGCCTTTGATCCTATAAGGGGTTTAAATACCTTTCTAAGAAATTGTACTTATTTTGCCTTAAACGGAACCAGCAATTCTTCCTAAAATGTATATACCTGCCGCACCGGGATAGACGATTAACGGACATGGTCATAAAAACATCGTAAGCCGATATTGAAGAATAATAATTTATGACAGGTTGCCGACAACAGACCTTCAGCACAGAATAATCATTTCCCGTATTCTTTTGAAATATTAATTTTAATGCTGGAGATAATTATTAGATATACTCAACCACAATTTGGACACTGTAGTATGGGAATAAAACAAAACAAATAGTATATTAAAGAACGAGTTGCATAAGGCAAATATTGAGGCACGAATCCAAGTTTATAGAACGAGCGGCGAAGCCGCGAGTTATATAAAGGATGAGTGCCTCAATGGCCTTATGAACGAGTTATTTATACTATTTTTTCTACCGCACACGTTTTTTCCCAAAATTTAATTGAAATTTGCATTTTTTTTAATCTGGGGACTTTTGTCGTGGTTGGTGATGGGTCGGTCTGACGCTAACCACGATATATTTGAGGTTCTAATTTTCACAACAATAATTGTAATTCGAACCAATTCGAGTTTTTGTAATTTAAAATTGGTTAAAATGTCTTGCGAAGAAGTTACCCGTCCGGAAACATGGGAAATTTTAAGTTTAGATTTGCCACTGACATTCACCTGACATTTCTCGTCATTGCTACCAATCTTACCGATCTAAATTACACCAGATCTATTAAAGAACGCCTTTCCGCTATTAACGAACTGCTGTGACGTCATTTGCGTGCGTTAATAGCTCTATTAGAAAACCAAAAAACGTGGGCGGTAGAAAAATTCTTTTTAAGCGTACGTAATAAATATTGCACAATTTGCGACACATCACAGAGCGAAGCGATGGCCTAAGTATTTGCAGGAAAAAAAAAGATTTTTCAGTCTTGAATAACTATGCTACAGTAAAATGTTTATTTTTTAAATTTAATACCACAATCCCTTCCTCTGCACTTGTGGTACGGGTGTTTAGTAGCGGAAACCAAATTTTGACACCAAGAAGAAATAATTTAGGTGACAATATGTTCGAAATGTTGTTAATTTTAAAAAATTCATTAAACAATACATAAAAAAACACATAAACATGTTTTCAGTTATTTTATTCGCCAAAGCTTCAAAAAGTATATGTTTTCTTGTATCTATATCTAGAAACATTTCGAAAAAATCGAAAACAATCTGTATCTAGTGATACTTTTATCTTCCATATATTTGTATCACATGAGGATTTTCGTCGAACCAGAACCCATCTGTTGACAACACTCGCAAAATGCAATACGAAGGGGCAGATCTTCCGGTTTTAAAGATTGGACGAGCTGGACATAGTACGGTTAAAGGCCCTGTTCATTCAGTGATCACCAGACAACAAACAGCGAAACTCCAACCTGATAAGCCAATCTTCGGACACTAATAGCTGGATTGCCGTCTACAAGGTCTAGAATATCAGGTTCAACATGTAGAACAGCCTGTGTTCTGTCACGACCACGATCTGTGGTGCGTGGACGAAATTCTCCATT